CATTGGAGGGATTCCAAAGGGATACACTGAGCCATGCATCCAGCATGCAATTGTCATCGCAGCACCGCACTCAACATTTTGCTTTATTGCCCTTTGTATTTTTTTGTTGTTTAAACCCCCAAACAGTAGACTTTTTGCAGGGGTCGAAGTATACCCATGTTGGTGTGAACCCTGGCACTCCATTCAACCCCTTTGGGTCACCCTGCTTTGTCAACCTGGGATAAATCAAATAAATCAACCCGGTGAATTCAAATTAAAGTCAACCAGGAGTTTATGAATGCGTTCCCAGTCGACTCTCTTGTCCCTTGATATCCCCATGGCAAACCTGACTCAATCACAACGGAAAACCCACAATTTCCTCGGAATCTCTGGTGGGTCGGCAACTGAGCTCAAGACACCCACGATCAACCAGGGGCTTTCTTAATCCGGGGTTCCCATTTTGGTTCAGATCGCGAAAACAGCGCCGCGCTCCGAGGCTGAAGTCGGACGTGCCGGCAGCAGTGTTGGCGGCGGATGATCCCGAGAATCGTCTCTTGCGGCCGCCCTACCGGACGCTGATGCCCAATGAGGTTCCTTTTTGAGCGTCCCAAACCCGAGGGGTGCCTGGTGCCGCCTAAGAAGAACAGAGCCGGAAAGCACAGACCCAGCAACACTACAGACCTGTGCATGGACAAACCTGCACCCACCCAGTCAGTTGGGATGGATGAAGCCCTACTAGCACAAATTACCTAGCCACTGGTGCGTTTGGTGTTTTTTTTCTCCATCTACAGTAAAAAAAGCCTCCACCCTAGCGACACCCGGCGCTTTTTTGTCGAAGAACCTCGCCGGGCCCAGCTTGAGACTTTCGGATGGATCTACTTAAGTTCCACAAGCCAAGGAGCCATGGATGAAGATTGCACCAAGGCCCCAGGTGTGTTCTTCCCATGTTTTCACAGAAAAAAAGGGGGGGGGGGGGGGCGAGCCATTTTGGCGAGTTACCGCATGTTTGAGGGTTTAGCCATTTTAGCCATTTTAGCCTTACCCTAAACCATTTTAGCCATTTTAGCAATTTTGGCGAGTTACCCCTTTTTTGACCACTGCCAGTCTTTCTATTGGCAAATGTTGACTGGCGCCCGAGATCCAAGCCCGAAGCTGAGCTCAAAGTGGGAGTTGCCGAATGGTTCTAGCAAATTTCAATCGGAGAGTCTTGAAGGAACAATTATTCATGGTTGTTGTTGGGAAACGGCTTTTACGTATTTTTGCCTATTGTGGTTTAGTGGTTGAAATCCAACCACTTAACTGCTAAAATTTGAGCGTTTTTGCTCCCCAAACCCAACGTCAACCAAGAATTCATTGCATCAAACTTATGCACTTCCTTCTGAATCTGATGCAATATTTTCAACTGTAGCTTTTGGACCGGGAAGGTTTGGTTTACGATAGTTTGCGAAAGAACCCAGAACGGCCAACAACAACTTGGGTGAGTTTTGTGTCTTTATTCTGGGCAAATTGCAAGCGGCACCGACAGGAGGTGTGCGCGCTTACGAGGAAGGTTCTTTGGATATTCCTTTCTGCTTGTGTAGGATTGAATTTTCGAGGCAATGTCGAAACGCCCAGATCTCCGTGTCGAGGGAGTACAAGAGTCTTACCAGAGTATCCAAAGCCCGACAGGGGGCAAAGAGGCTACCCGGGATTTCATAAGCGCACATGGCTTTCAGGTTTTGGACAGTCCTTAGATCCACTGGACTGACTTCTGCTGCTGCCTGGCCCTTTTGAATGGTCATAGTTGGTTGGTTCGCGGGCAGTTCCAGCTTCCATGTTTGCCCCAAAATGGCGGGTTTCCTGCTGGTTTCCCCTGAAACCAACCCAAAAAGGGTACCTTCAAAATTCACACACCCTCACAGCGGGTGATTTTTGAAGGAGGCACCGAAGAACTCTGGTGATTCCTTTTTTTTTGTGTGAATCGTTCTTTGCAAGCAACATCCATGTTTGTTCATGTGGATGTTTCTCAAAGTAAGGGGTTTTGTTTTGGTTGTTGTTTTAAGGCAGGCGAACGCTTTTTCAGGGACCGCCGTTTTGAGACGCCCCATATATAGTTCCTCCTTTTTGTAGAAAGACTTGGGGGAGGGGCTTTTTGCTTAGCTTCTCGCTTGGGGGCTGACCTCTGGCAGCATCGCTCACCAGAAACAAGGCTCAAACAGCGACACCCCCACTAGCTGCTTTGTGAATTCAATTCTATTCGACCCTTTGCTCGCTTGCTGCCTGCGACATAATGCCGTGCCTTCTGCAACTTAATACCGTGACACCTGATATCCGCTTTATACAGGCTCCATAGGGATGGGCCCAACCTTATACCGGGCAGCCTTTGCCATCGCTTTTGTGTTTCCCGTGGTCCTTGCGTGTTGGGGGCTTGAACTTGCGTGGTATGCTGGCATGTTACCCAAGAAGAGAAGTGACTGAAAAGAAATGTGTCTAGCTGTATCTTTGGTTGCTGCCTTGCTTGGATACCATGTTTTTGCTTATGACCAGGTAGTACACAGCTAACGTGTTGTTCCGTCCTGACATGATGCTTAGTGCACGTACTATCGGGGGTGGTCATCCACGTATACCCGGTGGTTTCAAGTTTCGGTCTTACGGCAGCACAAGTGATACTCAGTCCAGGCCCTGCGGAGTCGTTGTCACACAGTGGGGGTGCTTCATGGCCAGCCTCGGACGAAGCCACGTCCTCAAAACCCGGGTAGATGAACGATAGGGGGCAAACCGTCCCAAGCATAACCAGAACATCCGCCCTCATTGGGTTGGGTCGACCCGTTTTTTGGCTCCGGGGTTCTGATTGTGGCACCCCCCAGCCGCGCGACGCGAGGGCGCGTCTTTTTTTTGACAACTCGATCTCAACTTAGCCCTAGACACGGCTCGGCCAAGCGGAGCCCTGTTACTTAGACCGCCTGTTTGGCACGTGGAGCACCCAGACGAAGAACTTCGTGTGGGGTGAGGTAAGGTCGTGTTCAGATAGTTCAGAGCAAACATCAAGCAAGGACTGGGGATGCACGAGTTGTGTTTTTTTTTTTATTATTTTGCAAGCTACCCAGTTTCGAGAAAGACACATATGTTTTGCCTTCCAAGGGCGGTGGCAATGTGTTGCTCACGGAATATTCTTGCAAAATCGTGACATTTGATGGCCCACCTTAGTATCATAGCCATTTTTGAATGGTTCCCGGGCTTGTCAAGAGACGGTTTACCCTTGTCGGACTCATCATGTTGACAACGTTCTTGAGGCACGGTGGATTCCCTAATTATTGCAGGTGAAGCCATATCCAAACATAAATCCCTGGCATATTGATCAGGGGCTTGCCTTATTTAACTTTCAATAACTGTATGTGGGTATCAACCATACATCTTCCACTACCGCCAAGCCACAACTTTTGGGGGTTGAATGGGAGCAATATAAAGGGTATATCCCCCAATTTTCCCATGGCACGTTGTAAGCATCCGTCCAGGTGGAGTGATCTTTTGCTCGGATGGGTGCCCCATGCCTTTTGTGAATCGATTCAGCTCGCTCTGCGGAGCAGAGATCCGAGCGGAAAAGGAGAGCTTCCGAGGGGAGCTGAGATGGGGACTGTCCCTCGCTGACAGCCGCCATGAGCCCATGGGGTCAATACCCAACAGAAAGACTTAATGTTAATCCCGGATTAATAAACCCCTGGTAGATTGGGGGGTAGCCCCTTTTAGTGGGGAGTCATCACTTTTGGAGGGAACACCCCCCCAATAATGGGACGGGTTTAGCAATCCTGGGTCAAGATTATGCAGACATTTGGCCCCGAAATATTGGGAACGGAGCAGCTGAGGTTTCTCCTAGGTGCTGAAATGGTGCGTCTGTGTTTTGGTGTAGCGGTTCGGTTCCTTTTTCACCTTGCTTTTGAAGGGAACCCAAAAGGAACAATTATGATATTGACCTAGGGCCGCCAGTAGTGCCCTGTTACCCTTTTTTGGGGGAGGGTTCCCCTACTAAAATAGACTACAGAAAAACAAGTTGGTCCGCTTCTTCTAACCTCTCTACTGGAGGACCTATGGACACATGGCCCTTTGTGTTTGGTGGGTGCCCTTGTAAAAAAGGTGCACCAAAACCAGCTCCCGCCAAGAACTGTCCAAGATCCCCTTGGTACCACCAGCATCATCGAGGCCTCTCCTTTTCCGAGGGGTGTGTGTGTGTGTGTGGTGTAAAGGGCAACCACATGTAAAGCACACATGTTGCAGGTTCCCCAATTTCAAGACACACCTATATGGAGGGAGTCCTACTTAAAGGGGCTCTCTCTCAGGACAGTATCCACTTGGTAAGTGGGGTGTGCATGGCTTCCAGAACACCCTTTCAGGTTCCATGCTAATTGGTGGGAGGGTACCCTCTACAAGAACACGGGTTCAAGTCCCCAAGCCACAAATCCTACCCGCCAGCAAAGAGTTAGATGAAGTTGGGGCTGTCAAAACCACTACCGCCCCCCAACACGTCTCAGTTGGTTCTAAGATGGTTATAAGCGTTACGATATTCCTTATTCCACCACATAGAACAGCCCCCCTTCTCAAGATGGCAGATGGGGGGGTTTGGGTGCTCTTATTCGAGGGCATCAATCTGTGCGATTTCTTTGGGGAACCCCTGTTTGGGGCTGTTGTAGAGCAAACAAAAGGGAACCCACACATCTGAGGTCCGAGCCCCCACCAACGCAAGACGCCTGTCCAGGCTGAGGGCTGGGGGGAACCCCCAAGGGCTACCCGACTGTTTGGGTGTGTCTGTTTTTGGGGTGACCCCCAACAACGGCTCCGTTCTTCCTTCTTCCCTTTAAAACCACCAACTGGCTTCGTTCTTCCTTCTGGCTTCCCTGTAAAACCACAGAAAAGGGTAATGTTTTACCCCCAAACAACGACCAAACGGCAATATTACCCCCAAAAAGCGACCAAGAAGCGACACCCCCGTTTCACCAATGCCTTGTGACCATCTCCCTTCAAAGGGGTCCGGCCATGAGCTGCAACAGGTGGCCATGAGGCTCCCTGCGCGAGGCAGGGACCGGGGGGGGGGAAGCGGGGAAGCGGGGAAGCGGGGGCCCCAACATGGGGCGGGGGTGTGGGTGGGGGCCCAAGGGAGGTGGACTAGAGGAAGTGCCCTCAAAATGGGCTAAATTGCTTCTGTTGAGTTTGGTATTCAAGGCATAAAACCAGGGCAAACGATGGGGGACTCGAAAACAACACGATACCCCCGGAAAAGGAAAACGATAGGGGACTCTCAAACTATAAGTAGCGAAACGGCGCAATTTCGAACGTGCCTCATATATGGATAAGGAGTTTGGGCTGTCAACAAGTAGTGGTTCGTCAACAAGTTGTTTGCCATTGGAATCCACACAGCCTCAATCAGGCCTCGCTGCCTTGCCGAGGGCACTCGAAGTGAGACAAGGATCCTCTCCGATCCTTCCGAAAGGGGCCCAAGTTATGTCCCAGTTTGACAAGAACATTGGGTGGTTCTCAAAATGGTGGTCCCTTAAAATGGCAACGGCTCCCTTTTGGGTCCACCATTTTGATAAGCCTTCATATGACCTCGTGGCTCAACAAACTCGGAATTTCCAACCCGGACCCTCCCAAAAGCTGCAGGGGTACCAACTCATGGCCAAGACAGGGTGAGCAATGCAACCAACCAACCAAAAGCAAAAAACACGCAAAGAAAATAATCCAAACAGTGCAATCGGGGACTGGAGTGGGATAGCCCGAAGCCAAACAGTAAGATACCCTCAAGAAGACAAAAGGGCCAGTTGCGCCTGAAACCTTTTGCTGCAGCCCTGGTGGCTGGACCCATTCCAGCCTGTGGATGTTTTAGGCCCACTTTTTGCGTTACCAATCCCATCCCCTCGAAACTGACAAGGTGGCCATGCGGTTCCTTCATTCCCGTAGCACGGAAAAGTCTATTTCTGACGAATGCACTGGTCCATATTGAGTGTGTTCTTGGAGAGTTTATTTGCTTGGAACCACTCCTGAGACTTGGGCAGGGACCCCAAAGCTTTCAGCAGTTGCTTTCATGTGCTTAAGACTATGTTTTATGTTCCAGATTGGGGGTACATGGACAGATCCAGATTGATTGCGAATAGTTTACCCCCATAACTACGACGCCATGTTTTTCTTTTTTCTTTTTTTTAGCAACCCACAAATGCCATTCTACTGCAAGAGTTGGAACTCAAGAGTCGTTGGTGAATATGAATCCCCCTTCGGTGTCCCTTTGAAGCCACCAAAAAGACGCGCCACCCTCCTTCAAGAGGAGCCACCCCATTTGGGCTACTTGGACACATCCAGATTGGTCGAACAAAACATGGCTTGAAAAGTTGGTCACCCGGGCTGTATCCGCTTATAGATCCCCCGTGAAGAGCTGCTGACCACTTACTAACCTGGTCCGAACATCCGAGTAGCCTCAAAAACAGGCAGGAAGCAAAAAGGTTCCCTGAGGCTCGAATCTGAGATTGGTTGAACAACAAAAAACATTGGGCTCCGAGTCCATGTGAGTGTGACTCTTGTTTTTAGGGTAATTACCCCCTTGCTTCGAGGGTTTTTTGTGAGGAAACCAAACCGAAAACCCACGAAAACCACAAAACACCTGTTTTTTTTGGCTTTGAAGGCAGAAAGCCGAGGCCGTGTTTTGGGGTCCCGGACCCCCCCGGAAAAGATTCGACGCCACCGCCCATGTCTCGTTGCAAAGCCCTTTGGCGTCTCGGGGGCTTCCGCGAGGCTTGGTCTTCAGCTCCCTGCCGGCGGAGCAGCGCCTGTCTGCCTTCCAGGCGGAGTCAGACGAACATGGCCTGGCCGGCCTTGAAAGGCGAGCTTTTTGTCGAGGGTGAATAGTTGACCCCGTTTTTTTTTTGTGTTTTTTGAGCCCTGGTTGATTATTAGTTGTTGTTTTTGGTTAACCCTGGTTGATTGTTAGGGGGTGTCCCCTTTTAGTGGGAATCCGGGTTTCACTCTTGTGGGTGCACCCCCATTAATTCATAAACCCCTGGTTTTATTGGCATGTTGGGGTGTTCCCCTCCAAAAGGTCGGAATCCAACCAGGTTACCGGAAGCAATTTGTCCTAAAGGTTGTTCTCTACATCAGGTGTTGCCTTCATCAGGGGTTGATCAGGGTTCCCTACATCGGAGTAATGTCAACCCGGATTCATCAACTGCTTGTTAAGTGGGGCGCAGTGCTTCTCAACCAGGTTTTAGCGGTTGGATTCGGACCACTTGAGGGGAACACCCCCACCGACACAAAAAAAACAGGGGTCAACATGAGCACTGGTTTCCTTCGTGTCCCGTTGAACCTTGACAAGGCGATCGTTTAAAATGAAACCGCCACAATTTCAACTTTTGAGTTGGGGAATTCCAGCTGTCACATAGGGGATCCCACTGAGTTTCGTTGCACGTCCGGTTCAAATAAGACTGGTTCAAATGGAACCAGGTTAGGTTGCCTTTCTGGGATGGACCCAACTGTGCAACCTGGTTCCATCCCCAGAAAGGCATGTCCTGTGTCAAAGAAGCCCATACCCCCAACAGCCCCAGAACCCTGCCCCCCTTTAGAACCCTCCCTAAGAGCTGCTCCCACAAAAGATCAGCACCGTAGCTGTTGGGGGCAGAAACCGCCAAATTCTTCTCCCCCTGAAAGTTGTCCCCTTTGACTCACTTCCTGAGTTCATGAACTTTAAACTTTTCGGGAAGACCATTTTAGTGGTACATGCAAGGTTCGGGCTTTTTTTGGGCCATCCACTCAGCCAGTGAGTTGAAAGGTTCGTTTCGACGCCCCTCTGCCGTTTTGCCGGGCAGGACGACCTGCGGCATGGGCTTGAACTGGACACGCGCCTCGGCAAAGTAAGCCGCCGCTTCGTTTCAAAGGCCCCCGGTGCTCCCCGGGCGTTATGTTACGCTTTCCTGGACAGGGCTCCTTAAAAGATCGATACATTTTGCCTTGCCATTTGGAAACAGGCGGCGTTTTTTTTTCAACACCGAGATAAAGTTGGAAACCACCATTTACAAGTTGGAATGTTCAGGTGTATAATGTAAGGATCCCTGCTGGAAAGATTGAGATCCCCGGGTTCAGCGCGGTGGGATGTTCGGACGAGTTCGCAAGTTCTTCGTGACCTACGTCGCCCCGAAGTGGAGTCACCCTGGTAGTAGGGGGTTACGACCCACGTGGCAACCACTCAAAAACATCTAAGTACAACCAAACCATCTTTCGCGGAATTTGGTCTTAGAGAAAACCATATCAAATTTGGTTTGGAGCCATGGTTATGGGAAAGTGACCCCGAAACTAGTTCCTAACTCTGCATGCTTAACTTTGGAGCCGAGGAAAAGGGAAAGTTTCCCCTAGATCAGTCCCTGACTCAACATGGTTTGGTTTGGAGCCGAGGAAATGGGAAAGTTACCCCTGGATCATCCCCTGACCCAAAGCTACCTGCACCCTCCATGACCCTTACAAAAATGGGGCTATTACCAAAAATAATGGGGTGACATGGACCCATTTTTACAGGGTCATGGAGACTCCAAGTACTTGATTTGTGGTCTCCCTCTCGGGTCTCGAGTGTAGGACCTGCCTGAACCTGGCGCTCAGCGTTGCCCCCTGGCCCACCGCCTGCTTTCTGCTGGCCTCCGACGACGGGCTCCGGGATGTCGTGAGCTACGGCGCGGATGGCCCAAAGAATAGTAGGACCTCTGAAGAGACGAGGCACCTCAGGTTGGTTTCCCTTGAAACCGACCTGACCTGAAGAACAGGAACTTGCCTCTCAAACACATATCAGCTTCTCGTTGATTGGTGGTTTCGATTGTTTTTTTGGAGCTTGGGAGGGTGGTTCCCCAGAAACTCCCTCTGGTCGTTTGGAGTTCTTCTGGAAACCTGCTTCTTGATTTCGGCGTGTCCTGTTTTCTTTATTTTGAAGCAACGCCATTCGAGTTGAGGCCCTGGAAAGGTGTTCAACAGTCAACTCAGGAAGCAAACAGATAGCTGCAGCGACTTCTTCACCAAGGGGTTAGGGGTTGAGACTCGGAAGAAAGCCAGGTGTTGGTTATGGCTTAGATTGCCCTTTTCAAGAAGACTGCCCTGGTTTAGCCTCTATTTTGACTCAACCGAGTTTATATTCTCACTCAACTGGAATTGAGTGTGACTCGAGCAGGCTTGGTAGACAAGCTACGAGTTTCAAGAGTGAGCCCCTGCAAAATGGTTGGTGGTAAATCAAAATCCCCATGTCAACGATGTCCACCCAACGTTTCCTTTTTGGAACATCACACCCGAATCACTATTGAGGCATGAAACAAGTTGAGGGTGCGACTAGGTGCGGGCTCCCATTCACTGGGTTACCATACCTGCAAAACTATGATATGTTTTAGGGTGAACCAATTTTGAACCACAATCTGAGAACCCCATCCCTCCGAAAGGCCCACAAGTCTCTTGGCAATCACGCGAATCAGATTTGTTGACCCAGGCGTGATTTTATCTACCAACAGGGTGCTATACTTCGGCATGAATTTGATTCACTGTAGATGCGGTGCAATCAAGGGATATCGTCTCAGCGATGTTCATTCGAGGAATTACGACTCATGAGCTGAAGCATTCAGCACATTTGCAGAAACAAGTTCAAGGTTCTGTACTCTTGCAGATATGGCTATGAACTTGAATAGAGAACCGTGGGTGGACATGAATCGCCATGAAAATGATGTCCACCAAAGAGTCCCTCTTTAAAGTACATACATATACTCACAACCTCTTTCCAACGATCATGGAAGAGACTGCGATGTCCGGCCGGTCGGACAGGTGAGATGGGGAGCACTAAGAAGAACTCTGTTTAGGCTAGACCTTGTTTCAGAGCCTGACCTCCGGACACAGCGCAGTGAGACAGCCCACCCACCCAGAATGGTCCAATTCGGAAAGCGCTTCAAGTCTACTTTCTCCAGCAGGTTGCCGACACATCCCCCCCACCCATCCACGCTGCCCGCGAATGCACACGCCACGCGCCCACCCAAGCACGCGCTCGCTGCAAGGTTGCTTGCCCAACCCCCCTGACACTGAGTATGCACTCACCCACCCTAGCTTGAGCGCATGTGTGCCTGCTTGCGTCCGGCGCTTGCGTCCGGGCGTCCGGAGCGCGCGCACGCCGCGCGGGTCTCACACTCAAACCCAATCAGACCAAACAAATGCATCCCCGGCAGCCCGTCTCAGCCCCGCAGAAGCCCGAGCAATTCTGAAGAAAGCCACGGTATGCGCGACGTTTTCCGCACAGCGGCGGCCGCACTTGCGCAAGAAAAACCGCTCACTGGATCGCAGACTTGCCCGCCATGTCTGCCTACCGCCTAAACCTACTCTCAGGGGGCCATTTTTGAAGGGTTTGAGCGATGCGGGGGATGTCAGGGATGCTGGAACGCCCAGATGCTGGTGATGCAGGAATGCCGGGGATGCTGGCGAAGTTTGCGAGGATGCAGGGATGTTGGCGGGGATGCTGGCGACTGTCCTGGGCGATTTGCACTGTATTTGCAGTGTTTTTGGAAGGTCGGGCAACGTGGCATCAGAAGCCCGTCGCAAGGCCAGTGCTGCAGGCAATGCTGAGGAGGAGCTTGGGGTGCAACAAAACACGTCAGCGGTATACCGTACGGGTAGGGTTGCCCTCGCTCTTCGAGCTCGAAGACACAGCGCAGCTGGATCTGCCTCAGATGATCATTGTTATCGACTTTTCACAAGCTTCGGGGTTCAAAACTTGTGAACAGGCGCCGCGCTGGGCGCGTGCGCGCAAGCAGGCGGCTTGGCGCATCAAGGGGGTCCAACTGAGATGTACTGGTCGATGAATTTGCGGTCCCTTGGTGAGTCTTGGTTCTTGTTAGACCACCTCCATTTGTCTGGTTCTCAGTGCGAAAGAGGGTTTTTGAAGAGCTGGCTTGGGAGCTTGATGGAACTTGTGTGCCATGTGACTAGGAGTTGGCAGATACGCTCGTCCAGCTCTTGATTTGGAAGTTGAATTATGTTATTCCCAAGTGGTGAACGATTCCTTTGTGGAACCCCCAGTTTCTTGCTGATTTCGACGCAGACCGGAAACGTCCAAAAGCTATTCAGACATGATTTGAAATGACATGATCAAATACCGTCTATACTGAGATTATCGAAGTTACAAGTAGATGTATTCAAAGAAGGGAAGCTCAATTCAATTGTACTTAACCTTACTCTGCATGTGCTATCAGCACCCACCCCACTTATGCCCAAATTCGTTGAGTAGGTGTTTTCGTTGTTGAAAGGCGGCGCCGGGGTGCTTTCCTTGCCTCACTTCCCGAGCAGATCACCAGGTCTGAGTGCGTTTCTTCCCAAGTTAGATAGCCCTGTTCCACCGGAAGCCCAAAATTGATTTCTGAATCAGAATCTAGTCGGGAATGGCCAAAGGGTACTTAGGCACCAAGTGGTCGGACAAAAGCTACAATCGATGCCCCATATGTTGCAAACATAAAAGAAAACAAGGACAGCCTCTAAAATATCGTAAATTACCATAGTCTTGTGGTTGAGTGCGGTTGGTGTACTTGCATAAAATAGAGCGCATGCGTCAAACACCCACCTCCGTCAAACACCCACCTGGCCATTGGAAGCGAATGAATAGCTTGGTGGTGGTGGTTCATTAGGTTCAGGTCTGAAGACCAAGTATGGGGTGGTTTGCTCAGGGGGGCTAGGGGGGTGAGCTATTCTTGATAAGCCTAGGATAAGCCAAGCCGGCCTGGAGCTAGCAGCAGCAAACAAAATGCTGGAAGAAGGACACATGCTCGGTCGCCGCATCGCCGGGGGGGGGGTCAAAATAAGTTTCTGCTCCTTGGTCTCCTTTCGCCAAGGTCCCATCTTTTTCACCCACAGTGAGCTCAGGTATGTGGCAGCAGGCCCTGCTTTTGCTCGAGGACATGGCCAAGGCGGAAGTGACACCCAATGACATTTGCGGCCTGGCAGCGGGGAGAGCCGGAAATGGGCAAAGCGGTCTGAGCGCAACCATTTATAACCGTCTTCTCCAAGCAAATATTATATCTAACCGTAGACTGAATGGGTGTGGCTCAAAATTGAGCAAGAAGGGTTACGCAGGTTTTGGTCCATGTTTCCACTTACAAGGGTTCCATTTTGGTACCGGTTTTTTGAGCCACTGCCGAATATGAAGCAGAACATATTGTTGCGTACCCCCGAGTTGGGCCATTTGCTTGAGTCTTTCCTTTGCTGGTATTGGGCGAAAGTAGATTGCACACTGCCCCCATGGTTTTTTCTAGTTTCATCCTGGAGCAAAGTAATGGTCTCACTTCTTGAATGGAATGTTAGACTTGTTTTTTTGTCAATCCACTCAGGATGTGAATGGTGCAAGTGTTCCCTGGTGTACCTAGTGTCAAGGCTCAAAACTGGAATTCCCTTGATGATTTTATGAATGTTCAGGTGCAAACTAAGGTTGTCTGAATATGTAGGGTGCTGAGATCTGAGTTCTTTTCCCAACCTTTTAAACCACTCTCATTTCACCAACCACCTCTGGGTTTCCCTTGTGCCAAAGCTTGGTCATGAAACATGTGACCCAAGGCTACAACTCTGCCATCGCAGCGCTCAGCGCGGTGGGGCTCTGGCAACAGGCGCTGCTTTTGCTTCGTGGCGCCAGCCGACCGGGCTACGGCGCGGTGCCGTGGAGCAAGCGTTCGGGGGACACGCCCACTTGCTGAAATCTGTGTGGATTTGTACCTGGAGTCTCCATGACCCTTAAAAAATGGGGTCAATTACCCAAAAGTAAGGGGTCATGGACTCTTTTTTTATGGGTCATGGAGACTCTAGGTACCCAAATGCAACTCTGGTAAATGGAAACATGGACTAAAACCTGCGGTCCCCTGGTGGTTTCAGTTTTACCCTTACCAAAATTAATATGTAACCGGGAAATTAGCCACTTCGCAATCGCAGCAAAGACCTTCCACAATCATGGGTATTATAAGGGATACTTGGCTGTTCGGCATTTTCGATCGGGTCAACCTAGTTACTGAACACCGCGTGCTGCCCTTTGTTTCTTGGTATTGAACCGGTTTCCATTTAACTGCCAACAAATAAGGCCGGCCTTTCTTTGTCAGGGCCAGGGGGTCTGAGACCAATGCAAGTTGACAACCCGGGCGATGCAGACCTAGCCCTCCTGAGCGGAATTAGCACAGCCTGTGCTAACAATGGCGTCTGACCACTTGGCTGAACTTCCAGGCAAACAAGTTCAACCTTTGGCCAGTTTATGGGTGAGTTTCCCAAATGTACTGATTCAAAGCCATAGCCACGGCAGAGCAAATCTGTGTTATGGTTGCAATGTGTGACTATTTGCGACGACTACGGACCAAACTACTAGCTACTGATTTCAATTTGCGACTTACAATGACTGTTCAGGGCCATGAATTCATGCTAAGGAACATGAGTTTGCTTTGACTATTGGACGGTCAGTGGTGAAAGTACGAGCGAATGCTTCCAGCGCGAAGATGCTGCATAGCTTTTGTTTAATGGCTGCGCCGGACATCGACCTATTAGTAAGGCGTTGATAACCCACTATATATGTCCCACTTCTCGTGGAACCGACTTTAGTCAAGGTAAATCTACTGAGTGGTAATCCCACTTTACTTTGATATAATCAGGTAAGAACTTAGAACCCGCTTATATGTCTCCCTAAGCGGAGTTAACCCTGTTCCTTTGGAGTTACAACTCAAGAGGGTAATCACTTACTAACTTGGCCGAACATTCAAGTCACTCTTTTGAACTGGCGCTTTGAATTGATCCGACATATGCACCTGTCTAAAGATAATGTTGCAACTCATGTCAGTGTGTTGTCTTTCCAGGCAGGGCGAGCAGGCCTCGAAACAGCAAAAGCAAAGTGATTGAACAGAATGGGGCGACAAGTTGTAGGTTGCCATGTGGTGCGTGTTTGTTTTAGGTCCTTGCCCCAAACACCTAGGGTTGATGGTGAAAAGGCAGAGGAATTAACTTGTAGTATGAGGCCCGCATCGTTGTCATGATCGGAGGAACATCAGGCTAGCGCTTCTTTAGCACCCTCTTATTCAACCTTTCCTGGAGCTTGTGCTTGATTAGGGTGCTCGTATCCGCCAAGAGAAATCACAGCTCGGCTGTGTATTGTGTGTGCTGCTGGCTTTGTTTTCGCTGGACGTTTGCCCGTTACCCCCTTTCCAACCATCATGGACGCTGACTGAAAGACTGAAAGGTGTTGGAATACGAACAAGTGCGTGAAAGGACCCCCATGTCCGCTTTACCGCCTGACACAGTCCTCACACAGTTGGTGGAGATGAATCGCCACCTTTCCGGGCCCGGAATTGAACATCATACCCCCAGCACCCCCCCAACAACTGCTTTTTGGACAGTACTCGGAAATTTGGACATGCGGAGAAAGCATTGTTGGGGGGTGCTGGCCACGATTGGTTGGCCTCCATTTGCTTAACAATAGTATTTTCTTATTGTCCCTTGTTGGGTTGAAAACGAATTCAGCACTACTGGACATAATTGTTTGTTTGTTTCCTGGGGCCTTAACCAAATGTTGGGAGGGTACAGCCCAGGCCATTGCCGCCTGCGCGCAGGGCGTGCAATGGCAGCGCGCGCTGTTGCTGCTCGCTGTGATGGAGCAGGCGCTTCGCGGATTCCCGCTTCGTCGTCGTGGTTTGGGCCGCGGGGGCGAATTGTTCCCCACGAAGGGCTTTCCATGGTTGTCGTTGGGAAACATTTTACATTTTTGCTTATTGTGGTTTAGTGGGAAATCCCCACTTAACTGCTAAAATTTAAATGTTTGCTCCCCTTCCAACGTCAACCAAGCTTCCCTCTTGGCCAACTTGGGAAGCTCAAGAGGAAACCAGTCACAGGCCCTTAGGCCTCTGTTGAGGGTACTCTTTTTTACCTTGGTTTGCAAGGAAGGCACATGGACTTTGGTGCATTTCGCCAAGGGATGTTAGGACTTTAACTTTTTGCCAACTCATGTGGTTTCCATTCAACCACTGAAAGTTAAGCTTTTAGCAGGGCTTCGCAGATTTCGCAACCGAGTGGAGATTTATCATTTGCTTGGGGGTCCCCCAGCTTGAGAGTAGGTTCAAAAAGAGATGCAAGCGGAGTGGAGCTGAGGAGCCACCAGTTCTAGGACATCGTTTTCTTGTATTGGAATTGCAACACACAGGGAAAGGGGTAAAGATACAAACTCTCGGACAGAGTTGCCACTTCTACTATACATACATGTAGTATAATATATATATATATATACATATGAAGACATACATATGAAGATATACATATTGAATATATATATATATATGCATATAAATATGAAGATATACATATTATAAACTCATATATATATATATATATCATATAGACAGATTGACGTAACAGGCCAACAATTCCAAGTTGCACCTCGCCGAGGCCTCCTTTGAGCCAAACTTGTTGGCGTGCAGCTCGGGCATCGCTGCCTGTGCCCAGGGGCCCGGGAGCCCGGCCGAGCGAGACCCTCCGTCCTGATGAGTCAGGCGAAATCCGTGGCCCAACGACATGAAACCAGGGGAAGCCATTTGTGATTTAAGTTGAGGAAGCATCGACACCAGGGGGCTTTTGAAACTTTTACGTTGGGGAATCGACTCATTCCAGGGTTGCTTGAAACCTTTACAGAAAAGGTCGACTCATTCCAGGGTTGCTTGAAACCTTTACAGAAAAGGTCGACTCATTCCAGGGTTGCTTGAAACCTTTACAGAAAAGGTCGACTCATTCCAGGGTTGCTTGAAACCTTTACAGGGGAATCATCAGAAACCAGGGTTTCTGAACCCCGGATCTAAGTCTGAGCCCGTCCTACTGTGGACGAAATCCATTTCGCAAAGCCATAAGGTTTGTTGGTCTTTATGTTGGGGAACCGAATCAGATGAGGTGCTGCGAAATGGATCTCGTCCATCCAGGGTCAGATGCTGCGTGTTGCAGGTTCAAAATAAAGTTGGGGTGGGGTGGACCCTAAAGTAAGTCATCTATTTATTTTTGTCCAACCCCCTTTTTCATTAAAACTCATTTTGGCATCTGTGAAAAACCCTTCAAAGTTGGACTGAACTCATTTCAAATTAGCATGAGGTAATCCGTGACTCCCCAGGAAGTGCTGATTTGTCAAGTCCATTCAAGGCCTGGAAAATGTGAAAAAGCGGGCGTGCAAAATAAACATGAGTTGGACCCCCCTTGACTTTATTTTCATCAAGACATGCAATGAGATATGTTTTGTCCAACTTGGACTACTCAATCCAAACCCCACAAATATATCGTGATTTGTCGATTGATTGTTGGACTATTTCATGTTTATTCCCCAACAGCTGAAAGCTCTGGGGTCTCAGCCCAGATAGGCTCCGGGGTAGTCCGGGGCGGCCCTGAGGTAAGGTTCCACGAGGGTCGGGGTGGGGTGCTGTTGGGGATATCGCCTGATCTTATTTTCCAACAAGGATGGACGAACCCAATTTTATCTGTTAAAATGGGGGGTTCAACCTTGTCTGGAGCCTTTAACGGGGGTCACGGTCTTGATAGGTCCAAAAGTCAAGCCCCACTTGAAAGGGACCAGCCTTTCATACATCAACCCCTGATTGATGAATCTGGAATTCCCAGTACCAGGGCTTCATTGCAGGAGGTGAATCTCGTAAAACGCTGCCATGTTAGGTGTGTGGTTTTGGTGGAGGGTACTGGTTTCGAAGGGAATCTAAACCAACATGTTTGGGGCCCCTCGATTTGTAGCATACCCGAATGTGGAGTTGATCTCCTGGCACCAGGTGGCGCCCTCCCTTTGGTGCTTCGCTGGAATGCACCCCCCTTTCTGAGCGAAAGGCGCCAATTCCTTGGGTCACTGAGCTGGGACAAGGGACTTGCGCAAGCAAGAATCGTCCGTTGATTGAAATTCTGCTAGGGGCGAGTGGCAGCTTGCCCTGGCTATGCTGCAGTCTTTGACCAGGCGCGGTGTCCGCGCTTTGCGGGGCAGGCGCGAGCGGAGTTGTTTTTCCTGCTTGTGTTGTCAAGGGTACCAGTTTTAGGGATGGTTTGAAAAGAACCACCCATTTTCGTGGGGCGCTTTGTTGAGACACGTACATGCGCACTGCTTCTGATAGATTTTGGAGACCCCCATGGCCTTTGCATACAGGATCGTTCGGATTTGCAGATCACGGACTCTGCACTGCTTTTGGGTCTTCATTCGCGGTGGATCAACGAGCAGAAGGCAGGTCCTTTACTCGGGGAATCCAATTCCTATTCCAGGTTGTAGAATAAAGTTTGCAGATGCGTATGTCACCTTGAACTGGTGGCTTGGGTTTTGGCATGTTTAAACCGGGGTGGCCACCCCAGTAAAACTCCAGTGCTTTCGGTCGCTTGGAAGGCGGTTCCAGTTCGACTCGTGGAGAAGCCCGAAGCTTTGACGAAAGCGTTCATGGTGCATCAGTGAAGTCATTTGCACTGCGCATCCCGCTAGGCCTTGGGTCAAAAGTTAGTTCTGAGTTTGGTAGCGGAGCGCTTCGGGGTTCCCTGCCCTCGCGCGCTCGCCATAGAGCCGCGCGCTCACGGCTGCCGGTCCCGCATAGGGACGCTGGCCCCGTTGAGGCCGGCTTGCGCGGTGGTCATCATCGCGGACCTGATCTTCACGATCAGCATCGGCAGCTGGGTGGCTGCCCGGGTTGGCTGGGGCCCGCAGGACAGTAAGTCGGGTGACAGCCACGGCGGAGGAGACACTCCCGGAGGTGACCTACTGGCGTGTGGGCCAGACTACGGTCAGACAGATCCGGGTGGCCAGGCGGAGGACAAGATCCAGGGAGAGAACTACTCGCTCGCGCTCACGGAGGCGAAGAAGCTCGAGCGGCCGCAGAACACCACCCTGGAGGAGATCACGCTCACGAAGGGCAACACGCTCGCGAAGAAGGTCACGGAGACCTACACGGCCTTGGAGAACCAGGCGGAGAAGCACGGTCAGCGGATCCCCATCCAGGAGACAGAGAAGAACACGGAGGTCTGCAGTTCGGAGGCCAACACAAGAACAGTCATTGGAGGACATCTCCGAGGACCTGATCATACTTCCATCGGATCAGGTCGCCAGCCCTTTGGACCTCGAGCTTTTGGACGAATTGCCGGAGGAAGCACCACAGCTAGCACCGAGGACCCCACCAAGAGGATCGCGATCGAGATCTCGGACAAGCCACAGGAGCTCTACACAGGCATCACCTATTCCCAGGAGATCACCTACGGCTCGATCACCATCCCGGAGAGCACTGCCGGACGAAGAGCATCGGGAAGACGAACCAATACATATAACCAGTCGGCAAGACAGTGGAGCCAGCAGGCCAGGAGCCACTTTGGACATCTGGTCACTGCTGCGCGTCTTTGGACGGTCATCATCCTGATGGCTGCCACTACGGCTGGGTACGCAGGAATCCCACTGAATGAGTACCGACGTGATGTGCCGCCAGGCTGGGCGCCAGGACTCGCCGACTACCCCTTGCGACACTACTTCGAGAAGTTGCGACTCTGGTATCGCATCTACAACGGGGACGACGAGTCGGTGGGACCCCTGGTCGCAGGCAGACTACAAGGACGAGCAGGACGAGCACAACGAATCGCCATCCAGTTGAGAGTTCCCAGACCAGACGGAGGAATCGACACGGGCGACGCGGCACTGGTCAGGCTCAGTGTGGATGAGGTTCGGGATCCGGTGAACCCACAGATTGTGCTTCAACAGCACATTCCCTCGGGGGTACAGAGCCTGTGCAACGCGCTCAGGGACGCTTTCGGCCAGAGTGATCAGGACCTGGTGAGCGTCTCCCTTGAGCGTTTCTTTGAGCTCAGGCGCGGAAAGATGACGCTGAGGGAGTACTCGGTGGAGTTCGATATGAGACTGGAAGAAGCCACAGAGAGAGCCGGTTTGCTCATCAACGAGGTGGCCAAGTTCTACCTCTACTTCAAGAACAGCGGCCTCAGCCAGAAGTTCATCGAGGATATCAAGCTACAGATTGGAGGAGACCTGGCGAGATTCGCGGACGCCAAGTCTCTGGCCTTGAGGCTCAACAGCAAGACCGCCGAATCAGACGGCGACATCTTCTACGGCAACAAGCAGAACAATAGAGACGATGATCATGATTACGTTGGTGAGCAGTGGGACGCAGAAGAACATGAGGATTGGATGTCCTACTATGAGGAACCGTGGAACGAGTATGAGTACTACGACTCGGATTACTATGCCTACGACGAGGAGGACTATGACTTCTACCCGGAAGAGGATTGGATGTGGGGCACCGAAGAAGGTGCCGAAGGAGATCCAGTTGACGAAGCCGAGGAAACAGTCACTGAGCAGAAGGACGAGTTCTACCAGAAAGGAAAAGGTCGAGGAAGCCCGAGCTGTTTTATCTGCGGAAGCAAATGGCATCTTGCCGCGTCTTGCCCGGTGAACCAAGGAAAGGGCAAGGATGGAAAGTCCGGAGGAAAAGGCTACAGGCCGAAAGGTTTCGGCAAGAGCAAAGGCTACCGCAAGGGCAAGGGCAAATTCAGGAAAGGAGGATTCCGTCCATGGAGCGGAAAGAGTAAGGGCAAAGGGAAAGGCTATGGTAAGAGCAAGGACGGTGACAGAGGCTGGTACTACGCACGGACACAAGGTCTGGACATCAGTGAGGTCATCCAGACTGCCAAGGATCAGCCAACGAAGAAGGTCACCACCTTTGCCATGAATTCCGTTTCAGATGACGAGCTGCTCAGTGTGAAGAGGTCATCTGCCTCCACTTCGGAGGCCAGTGCAGGTGACAAGAAGTTGTTTTTCCCGACTTTCATTGCATCCGGAAGATTCTCCAATTGGCATGGAATATACCACATGATCAGGAATGAGAAGCGACGAGGACTGCTGGTGGATCCAGGAGCAGCCAGTGGATTGATCGGCTCGGACACGCTGCGAGACCTACTGGAGAACTGCGTGGACCCGCTCAACCGAAGCCATGAAGTTCAGTGGAAGATGGAGAAGATCAACTCGGTGAGCGGCATCTCCGGTGGCAGCGACAAGACTCTCGGAGAAGTGAGAATTCCTTTGAAGTCCTCAGGACATGACATCGTCTACACCGGTGACGTCCTAGGAGGAGAAGGCTCAACGTGTCCCGCGTTGATCGGAAACCCATCGCTTCGCGAACTGCACGCCAGCATACTCACCAACTGGTTCGAGAATGGAGATGGTCTGCTGGTGGTGCAAGCAACTCCAGAGTCTAAGAGACAGCTGTTGAGGATCTTGCTTACCGACAGCGGTCACTATATCCTGCCGACCGATCACAGCAGCAAGGTCTCCCAGCACACCAAGGAACAGGTGGAGCAGTACATGAATCAGGTCGTAGACGAGAGTCAGAAGACATGGCCTGACGTCAAGAAGTGCTACCTCGTCGCCAAGCAACCGAAAAGCATCCTGAAGAAGGAACCGACGACGAAGGAAGGTAACCGGTGTGAAGTCCAAACAGCATCACCAGAAGAACAACCTGAAGAGAAGAAGGACAAGCCTCAGAAGTCACAACCAGCACATAAGGAAGAGTCCTTCCTGACACAGGAGATTCAAGGACGCGAACAAGATGAGTGGATAGAAACCGAGGAACAGCTCATTCGTATTCATCGAGCACCTCGGAGGATGATGTTCACCCCAGGATTGACCACGGACTGCCCGCTGGACAGCAGCCTTCTGGACGACCAACGCATGACAGAGATCAAGCCAGTGAACCAGAACCACGACAAGATGATGCTCAAGGATGAGTACAGGAATACGAGCGTAGGGAACCGCGACATGAGCTACCTATGGACGGGTAAAACCATCTTCTACAAGAAGCAGAAGGAAATGCCGGATCCTGCTGTGCAAGATGAGGAGTTTCCTCACTATAGAGAGGACGACATGCCCGAGTATCTGGATGAGAAGATACACAGCAAGCTCAAGAAGCGGTACAAGTGCGTGCCGGAAGAGTACTATACCAAGACAGGCTTCCGGCCAGTCACGCCCAAGAACTTTGGATCATGGTTCCAAGCGGCAAAAGGTCGGAACCTACGCTGGCATGCCTGGGAGCTATGCAGTGGCTCCGGACGCTTCAGTTGGTTCTGCGTCATGGCAGGGCTCATTGTGGGTTTCCCAGTGGATTTCCGGTACGGCTGGGATATCGGCAACAAGAGCCACCAACAAATGCTCTGGAGCGCATTTGAGGAGTTCCAGCCAGGCACGCTGCAAGCATCACCGGATTGTGCACCATGGTCCGTGTCCGGAAATGCCAAGGATTATGATCAGCGCATGCAGGAAAGACATGCTGAACGTCCATCACTTACGTTCCTCAAGCAGATGTTCAGTGAACAAGCAGCTGCTGGACGAGGCTACTGCTTGGAGCAACCACTCGGATCAGCTATGTGGCAGAGCAGCCCTCTGGAGATAGATGGACTGCCTGAAGCCAAGAACCGGCAGCGGGTAGATCAGTGCATGCACGGTGCAGAGGACGAGAAAGGCAACCCGGTGCAGAAGGCCACAGGATTCGGCTCCAACATCCGATTCCGGTACACTGCGAAGAGATGCTCAGGTCATAAAGGGAGACCACATGGACAGCTGCAAGGCAACTATCAAGGTTTCTCCCGGACGGCCATGAGTGCAGTGTATCCCAAAAGGATGTGTCACAACATGGTGAAGGACATCCAAGGCTTCCTTCAGCGACGGAATCTTCTGTTCCTTCGACCATGGCCGAGGACAATGAGTTGGTTCGTGACCGAGCACTACTACGACTGTGTTCGCTGCACTCTGGGGCGACAGACTCCCCCAGGCATCGAGCACTCAATGGTGCCAGGACAATGTCGTCACGGGCGCTGGGCGCCAGGCACGAACCCGAGAGCGAGTCCACTCGGCGACCCCGTCAAGAACTGGAAAACCAGGACCAGCAAGCAAGTCCTGGACTCCGTCGAAATCATCGACGAGGCCAA